CAAGGGGCTGGCAATAATTGCTTTCCTAGAAGGGATACTCTGACTAAATAAAGGTCAAACAAAACAGCCCTGGAGAGCTTAAGGAACATTTAAAGGAGTCGCTTAAGCCAGGAGGACTGCCTTCTGGGTGCACTCCACAGCGCAAGCTGTGTCTGTCCAACCTTCTCCGATGCAGAGCAGGTACCTCGAAAGCCCCAAGCCGCGGGATCGGAGGGATGGGAAGGGGACGTGCTAGAAAACCGCGAGCTGTCGGGGCTGGCCTTTTGGGACAAGTGGCAACCACCTAGGTGTGCCGCTAAACACGGATCTGACCAGCAATCAGGAAAAATGACGTTTTTAGAAGGTTTTAGAAATACTGCCCCTGGAATACAGCTGAGGAAGTAATTAAAGAGTAATTTCCTACGTAATACATTTTGACATCAAGGTAACAGGGAAATAAGCAGGTTGGAAGAACCTTGAGAACAACGCCGCTTCTCAGCTGACCGCAAAAATACGACCAGAGCTCTGATTTTCCTGAAAGCCTAACCCCACGTTTTGCTGGAGAGCTGCGGAGCCCAGTAACCAAACTGGAAATCTAGAGCACCCTCGTTTACCTCTTAAACTGAGAATTTTCTAATGCATTAAAAATAAAGTGCATATTTATAATCAAGGCTATGGTTCTCATATTCTGCTCGGAAGCAGAACTTGATTTACTGAGTGACTCTTGCAGACATCATCAAAGAGAACATTTAACCAGCCCATGTAGGTTGTCTGGGAGGTTTCTGGAGGTTTGGAGGCTGAGCAGGGAACTGTTCAAATTTTTTTGTCAGCTAAAAAAAAAAAAACCAACACAGGAGGCATCCTAAGACCGTGAGCAGCAAGAGAGGTCAGAAAGCATGTTAATTTTACTTGTAAGCTTTAGGTTTCACAGTCGACCCACTAAGTGAAATCAGGTGGCCTGCATTCCTCCGATGCATCATTTCTGGGGTCTGCGGCACTAATGGTGTTACTCTGGGGCTCTGTTGTTTGCATTTCTGAATTATCATCTGGAACAGATTCTGATGACAAAAACTGTTTGGGGTTTTTTTGTTTGTTTGTTTGTTTTTTGGTTTTGGTTTTTTTTTTTAACATACCTAGTGCTTCTGAAGCACAATCCCGTTGCTGAGCGGCTCGCAGTGCAAATTCTTTGGCTGCGTGATCATGAAACATAGGGCCACATCTAGGACATCTTCCAAGCCAGGCAATGGCTCCTGCTTCCAGCAGGACTCCATTCTCCTTCATGTCGGAGTGTTTCTGGAAAGACTGAACACACAGCAAGCGATGCATGTCCTTCCCAACAGGGATTCATCTGCACTGCTCAGTGCTTTCCATACAACATTTGGGTGAGTTAGAGACGAACCAAGTTGAGTGCTAGAATATCAAATGACTCTCAGCTCTCAAATAACAGCAGACTGCCTTTATTGCTGGCTGCGTTGCAGGATGAACCACATTAACAACTAGTCTGTCCTCATCTTTGGACCAGAAGCAGGAGTCTTATCATGGTGGGAGATGCTGCTACGATTAGGACTGTTGCTTAAATGAGCGTGTCTTATTTGTAGCTGGATCTGATTTCACTATAAGTTACCACATGGTAAAAAATAAAGGTCCTGGCAGGCATGTATCCTATTCGCACAATGCTCCTCGCTCATTTTGCCATTAAAAAAATAATCCCAGAACCAATGCCATTAAAAGCCCAATAATGTAATTTAACAAACAAAAACATGTCAGGCACAGTTTACTGTGATTTGAGAAGAAGAACCGTGCCTGACTTTTTTGTTTGTTTGTTTGTTAAATTATCTTGCTTCTCAAATCACTTAAATTTATTGCAGAAATTCTGCAGAATGAGAAAGTCCTAGGAAATGAACAAACAGACTTTTTAAAGTGCCAAAGTGACCTGCTATGTCTCAAATATTTCACTAAGCGTTTAAAAACAGCTCCAAAAATCTCACTACTGTAGAACATCTAAAAACTCCCCCGGACAGGTTTTATTCTGTTGTGCACCACCTTACAGAGTTTGAGGAAAGTCCAGGATACCCAGGTAACACAGAAGAAACCTCTTAACTAGTGCAGTCATCCACAACTCCTATGAACTAATGATTATGAACGATCAGAACACTAACTTTTGGATCCCTGCTGTGTTTTGGCGGAATGCAGAACAGTTCTACAAAACCCAATGCCTACCACTAAGCAACCTCCATAAAGAGCCAAGCTCTCCATTTCATCATTTTAAAAACCTCCCAGGTTCTCCCACATCAGGCTCTGGAGTTTTTAGCCAGCTCCAGGGGGAAAGACGGGTAAGCACGGTGCCAGCCAAGACTCCGCCGCAAGAAACGCTCTCTTCCACAGGGTTGTTCAATCCCCGTTTTAGGAGCCAAAAGTCCAAACCATCCTCTGTCACACAAAAAAACATACGAAGGGATTTGAGGAAAAAAAGACCCAAAAGTTGAAACCGGCTCCAGCAAATCATTACTCTGGCACGGAGCTACACAGGGACTGAAGAACCTTGAGGTAGCTTGATCCCACCCTTGCAGATCTGCTCCTCCCACATCCTGCGACACTCTGGCTCACCCAGAAGCCGTGCCCTTACGGGAGCACTGCTGTGCCCTAGCTGTCTGGAGGAAGAGGTGAGCTACAGATCGTCTCTCCGTGCTGTCTGATTGTCATTAAGGTAGGTGGGGAATTCTGTACCAGGATCTGCGGGTTCCTATGGGGATGGGCTGTACGGCACAGCTGCAGGAGGGGGCTCTGCTCCCACCTCCTGTGAGTTTTAGGACCTCTGTACAGCCAAGGGGAAAATTTGACCCAAAATAATCAGTCTTACAACACTAAGCATTTCTCAGCACGGCAGCAACAGCAGCTGTACAATACCAGATAGCAAAGGGACTTTCCCTCTCAAAAGGTCCTTGTGCAGAAGGAAGAGTGCGTATTAGCCAACAAGAAGGTCCCTCTGTTACTCCCCAGGAGGCAGATCTTACAGAAGACAAAGTGAGGAGGAGGGAAAAAAAAAAGTCACAAGTTAAACACATTTTGCTTTGAGGTCTTTGTACACAGGACAGGGCTGGGGGTGGCAGGAGGGTCTGTTGAAGTCAATGCTACCCATCCGCTAGAACAGAATAACCCTTAATATAAATGTCCTCCAAGACACCGTCATGCCAAGTATTTGCACTTCCAAGTGTGGCAGCCACTACCTAAGCGCTATATATCTTATTAAATGACCCCCTAACAATACACACGTACCGAGCAAATAACGCTACAGAGCCAATCCATTCTCCTCTTCCCCCCAGGCTCTAAACGTTATGGCGTGCAACTTCCATTTAGACATCGAGTGTGCTGCAAAACAAAGTGAGTGGCACTTAAAGAACTTTCAGCTGAGCTGTGCTCTGTAACCTGAAGTCTTAACGTGCCCTCTGAACCACCACCTCAGGAGAACGATGGCTCCGTGGCATACCGTGGAACACAAAATAAGTTAAGTAAGTACCAAAACGCTAATGCTAAAGCTAGCTCAGCACTCAGATGTTTACAGTGTGCACAACGCTCCTTGGTTAAAGTTTTTTGTAAGAAGACGGGAGCAATGCTAATCTTGAGGAAAAGAATGAAAGCTGCAAGAAGCTCTACCATAGTGTGTGGCTCTTCAGGGCTCTGGTTTAGAACACTGAGCTTAGACAGAGGCACTAGTACCAGCCCATTTAAAGCTAATTTGTCAAGCAGTAGCAAAACAGAAGCACAAACACAAGCATCTTGAACTTAAGTGCTTTAAGAGAGAGATGGCCTTTTGCTACCAGTATATACAGCACTGGTGCTCTGGAATTTCTATGCCTCGACCAAAGATGTATGTAACAGGAAGAACAATGGATTAAAAAGATGAAAGAAGCAGAATTGCCTAAAAACCTCCCCAAGAACAGACCACCACAAAGAGCCAGGTAAAAGAGCTAGCACTGCTGGAGGACTATCCTTTACACTAAGGATACTTGCTCATTTTAATTCAACTGCATCCCTCAAGGCCTGAACGGCACTTTTGGAAAGTTCAGCTAAGTCAGGAAGTCCTTCTCTAATGAAAGGGCAGAACGTGGAGCGCAGG